AGATTTATTTATTTATTATGTATACAACATTCTGCCTCGATGTATGCCCACACGCCAGAAGAGGGTGCCAGATCTCAGTACAGATGGTTGTGAGCCACCATGTGGTTGCTGGAAATTGAACTCAGGACCTCTGGAAGAGCAGCTAGTGCTCTTAACCTCTGAGCCATCTCTCCAGCCCAACAAGTATGTTGTTATAGTCTGAAAGCATCATAGCCATTGTTGGGTCCATGGGGGGTCGCGCAGATGGGAGACAATCCACCAAAGTCTATTAAACCAGAAGCAAACTTTATCCCAGGAAAAAACGAAAAATTTAAAAAAATAAATCTCCATGAGGTACAAAAAGATTATCAGTTAGCCAAGACCACAGTCAGAGATGGACTTGTGGCAAAGGACCATTTCTGAACTCATCCTTTTTATAGCAAGAAGCAACAAGCATTAGGCAATATCAAAGGAAATTTTATAGTTTCAAGGTAAAACTCAGATACAAATTGCCCTTCTTTGCAATTTCCATTAAAAGAGCTTTTTTAGTTCAACTAGAGTTTGTGTTTATCCATTGTCTCTCTCTGACACTCTCTGATGGTGTTTACCAAAGCTCTGCATTCCCCTGAGACTGCCGGTTTTGCAATAGCAGGGAAGGGTATGGGAAAACGCACAAGCAAAAAGTCACGTCCATCCCGTCATTTAAAAGTTTACTCAGCTCCCATCAATTGCTGGTCAGGAGTGGCCAGGAGGTATCGAAAAGCTGACTCTCGTTTGCAGAAGGCCACTTCAGCCTTGCAGACAGAGCTATGGGTTGTAAAGCGGAGTAACCCACAGTTAATAGTTAATCCCTACGCTGCTGCAAAAGCAGCTGACAGCCTGCTCTCATTCTCCTCGGCTTACAACTTTATATTTCTTTATTTCTACATTCTTATTTTTGGAATCTACATGTCTATGCTCTTATTCTTGGACCCTTCAGCCATATTCCTTATGCTCACTCCTCTTGTTCACTCTGTAAACAACACCCTGGCCTATAAACATCTCACATGCTGATCTGCATCCCACATCGGGCTTCCTGGGAAACATACCTTATGGCACTTGGTGACAGGAGGGATGCCAGAAAGTGGCCACCGAAGGTAGGGCTGGGGTTGATGACGTGGTTTAGTGATAGGGCTTGGGTTTGATCAACACCCCAATAAATAAATATAGACAGACAAATGAATAAATAGAAATGAAGGTGGGTACCATCAACTGGCTGAATAAGAACCCATCTCAGGAGGTATCTGGAGCAGGGCTCAGCACATGGCGGCCGTGTGGTTAGCACTCTTGAGGATGTCCTCTCTTTGGAAAATGAATGCACTGGCTAGAGCAACGGAATCAGTATTTGAACAGCATGAGCCCCTCAGTAAGACAATGGAATAGGATGGCTGTCGCTGGGGGCATAAGATGTACCCGAGCAAGCCAAGCCAAGGCTGAAGGTGATTAATCTGTAATTAAGCCAGTAACATAGAAGTCTGAGAGATCCTTGGCAGATTCCAGCCAGGCTTTTCATCTCCTGTGGCTGGAGGGCAGATGAAGATCAGGCCCGGCAGGGAGGCATGAAAAGTAGCCTACCTCCAGAGGAAACTGAACTCCCGGAGTCTCAGGAAAGAAAAAGAATCTATCCTAAAAGAATGGCAGGATCTGGTCAATATGTTCAACCCTGCTGAGACAGCTTCCATGGGATTAGATTCGAAGAGTCTGGGATCGAGAGGATCTAACTTTGTCTCAAGGAACACTGACTGATGTGGAAGCAGTCTCCTGATGTGTAGAATTTAGTACTAGACTCGGACCCTTGGACACACTGCTAGGATGGCTCAGACCGAGCTTCTGTTGTAGACATTGAAAAAAGGAATCAAGCACTCACACAAAGGTACAGATACTGGCTAGGGATGCAGCTCAGTGGCACAGGACTCACCTGGCGTACAGGACATCCCGGGCTCAGTTCTCAGCAGCACACTGAACAGAGGTGGGGGCAACGGGAGATTGAAGCATCTAGTCACACTGCCCCCTACAGTCAGAAAAGAGAGAATGCATGCCGCTGCTCAATTGCCGTTCCTTTTCTCCGTTCACGCAGTTCAGGATCCCAGTCAGGGGATGGCGCCACCCATAGTGGGCAGGACTTGCCCCATCAATGAACAACAATCCCAACAATCTTCCACAGATGTACAGAGACCCATCTCGCGGGCGACTCTAGATTCTGCCCAGTTGACAATACTAACCATCACATTATGTTTCCAGTTGACAGAGCCCCAGAAAAAACCACTACCCGAGAGTTTAAGAATGTTTGTTCCACTGTAGAAACCCTTAAAGGATCTCATTGTAATAAAAGCTACTCCAGAGAACAAGATGCGGCAGTGAGTGCGTGCCCACGTGGCCCTTTGGTCCTATCTCATTCAGCACCGTATAAAAATGGCAATAGCCTAGCTTCTCCAGGAGCGCCTGAGACAGAAGTCATAGGGTTTGCTGCCTGAGTTCTGGGAACAAAGGTTGAAGCAGCAGTGGCCTTGATTACCTGCCCTACCAGGAACCCAGGTGAAAAATTTTTACTTTCCATCCCATTAACTCTGCAACCTGCATGTTCAAAAATCTTGGCTCCAAGAAATAAGATGTTCTGCCCGGTACCCAGCAAGAATCCCCCTTCAATTTCAAGTTTCATTTGTTGCGCAGTCACTTTAGGCTTTGTATGCCAAGAGATCAGCAGGCATGGAAAGAAGTTGCTGGCCTGAGAGAGTAATTGACCCTAATAACCTGGTGGAAACAGGCTACAGAGGGAGAAATAGATTCAGCCTCAGGCAATCTGCATGGCATCTCCTGCAGCAGTCAGAAATCAGAAAGGAGAGAGTGGCCAGGAGCTAAGCCCCCTATGGCATGACAATCTGGGTCATTTCACTTGGGATCTTTGCCACGCCTAACAGTCAGGGAAGCTGAAGCTGGGTAGGTGGGATATACCTGGGAGGCTCAGCAGGGGCCTCTTCAGCTTTGTGCACGTGCTTTTATTTTATTTTTTGAAATATATTTGTTATGTCATAAAGTATGACATAACAAAAATTTCATATTTTATCATATAATCATCTGATTACATTTTAGCATGACATCACACAGTGTTTTTAGTTGATATGGCATAGAATTTTCTAAGCGACTCCTCTGCCATAGGAGAGTGTCATTTATTTTTGTTGTCTTCGAAGGGACTGTCTTAGAAGGAATCAGTATTTATTGATCATCTTCTCCAGTGAATTAGCTCCTTACATAAACTCTAAGCAGCAAGAGGAGCAAACAAACTGGTATAGCCATCCTTAGGGACCGCTTTGGGGATCCTGTTATTGGTTATCAAGTTGTTTTGAAAACCAAACCCTAACAATTTATATCAATAGATCAAGGTGCCCTCAACACGGTCTTCTCTCAGCGCTGGAAATGATCACTGTAGAAAGTTCTGGTTAAGAGGGCGATGGTGGTGCACGCCTTTAATCCCAGCACTCAGGAGGCAGAGGCAGGCAGATCTCTGTGAGTTCGAGGCCAGCCTGGTCTACAAGAGCTAGTTCCAGGACAAGCTCCAAAGCCACAGAGAAACCCTGTCTCAAAAAAACAAAAAAACAAAAAAAAAAAAAGAAAGTTCTGGTTAAATAAATGTAGACTACTGCTTTATTTTGTTTCACTTTTCTTTCTGAAATTTTTGTTTGAATTTTTTTTTCCCACCTCCAACTTTCTCCACATCCCTCTCAACAGGTCCTTCTCTGAATTCCATGTCTTAAAATGTTTCTAAAACCACTAAATCCAGTTGATTCTCCGCATTTGTGCATAGACTATCCACAGGACAGGAAATTTAATTTCTACTGATGGCCACGAGAGAGAGAAATTGATTCACCCTCCCCCAGCAACTATCAACTGCCTCTAGTGCTTCAGTAAAGGACGTCCACACCTGCATGGCTTTAGGACTGACCTGGCTGGGGTAACAGAGAATGAAGAAATGGTCGATATACGGTACAGAAAAGGAATTGAGTGGGCTGTGTGCTGCGATGGAGCGGCACTCACAGCCAGAAACTCAGCACATCATTTACACAGAGTTCAAAGAGGAGGCAGGTGGAGGCGGGTTTATTATGTACAGCTGGTGGAGGGTGTGGGCTAGCTGGTCTCCATGCAGAGGGTTCCTATAGGGAAGCGGTGTCATGACGCCATCATCTAGGAGGAAACTGTAGCTGATACTTTCTGCATACACTGTCGACATCAGTACTTGGACCAGGGAAGGCCTTTCCATTCCTGTGGGCCTGAGAGCATCAGCATCCTTGACATTGCCTGTGCCAACAACACATTCACTCTTCACAAGGGATGGGGCCTGGAGACCATGTGCCGCATCTATGATGGAACCCTATCTAGCTTGATCTTCTGCAGGGAACCACAACCGTGTGTGGTTCACATGAGTGTCACACAGGAGTGTGACAGCTAGGCCACAATCTCACATGTTCGTCTCCATTCTCAGGCTTGCACACTTTCTGCCTCTGCCTCTGAGATAGTCCCCAAACCTTGGTCACGGTGAGAGACGACACTTGATAAGAGATGTCCTGTTTAGGGCTAAGCACTCAGTCTTTTATTCACAGCATTTTTACCAATTATGACTCTCTCTCCCTTGACTGCTGCCCCTGCGAAAACAACAAAATAAAAATTTAGAAAAGTTCCTCTAATCGAGGCTGAGAGCATCCCAGGTCTACGGGTATAAACAGAAATAGTTAGCAGCCAACTTGATGACCATTTTGCAAAGTAACAACAGCACATTCTATCCTAGAGCCTATGACTTCCCAGCTGTGGGCCTTTGTTCAAGATTACAGTACCAGACCTGAGATGCCTTCCTGAGGATCAGGCCTCAAGTCCAATCAGAATGTGGTTAACTACTCCATGACTACTACGCCATGATTGCACTGCTGGGTATATCTTGCCTGGCAGCTTTGTATTGCACCATGCAGAATACAGCATTGGGTAAGACCACTGACAACTCAACCAAATTGTGGTTAAATTTTTAAGAATTCTCTTTCAGTGTTTGAGAATTTCATACACGAATATGATGTGTTTTGATAAAAAGATAGCCTCTATTTCCTCTCCTCCAGTTTTCCCCATACCATGTTTCCCTCCAAATTTCATGTACTCTTGAAAAAAAGTTTTTTTTTTTTCAAGTTTTGAGTCTGTTTAGTGGTTCCTATGTGTGCTTGGATGTCAGATCATATACTAGTGGTTCCTGTGTGTACATGGATGTCGGAGCACCTACTGCAGGGGTTCCTGTGTGTACATGGATGTCGGAGCACCTACTGCAGTGGTTCCTGTGTGTGCATGGATATTGGGTCATCTACTGAGGAAGGGGGAGACTCTCAGGCTGGACCCCTGAGAAAAGATCACTCTCTCTCCATGGTTATCTGCAGCTGTCAGTTTGACACAGATTAGAGTCATCAGAGGGAGTAATTGAAGCATGACTAATAAAAATTCAGAGAGAGAAATTAGGGTTCAACATAAAAACCTGAAAAGCAAAGTAGCCAGGCACTGGCTCTTACCTTGACCTCAGTCTGAAAATGGCAATTCTGTCTCTAGGAAACCTCAGAATGAGGCTGTGTCTGAGAGCTGTCTCTTCCTGTTTTATAATCCTCTCTAATTCTTGGATTAAAGGCACCACTGGGATTAAAGGCATGCACCACCCAGTTTCTAAGGCAACTAGTGTGGCTACTGGGATTAAAGGTGTGTGTTTCCACTGCCTGGTCTGTGAGGCTGCCCAATGAGGGCTGTTTTACTTTCGGATCTTCAGGCAAGCTTTATTTACTAAAATACAAATGAAATGCCACTACAGGGAATTGCCTTAGTCAGTTTGGTCTGTGAACATGTCTGTGGGGCTCTTTTCTTTCTTGCTAACTGATATAGGAAAGCCCAGCCCACTCTGGACTCCCCATTCTTAGGCAGGGGGTCCTATGCTGTAAAGGAAAGGTAGCCAGATGGGCATGATGGTGCACGCCTTTAATCCCAGCACTTTGGAGAAAGAGGCAAGCGGATTGTCTGTGAGTTCAAGGCCAGCCTGGTCTACAGAGTGAGTTTGGACAGCCAGGGCTACACACACACACACACACACACACACACACACACAAACAAACAAACACCAATGAAGGAAGGAAGGAAGGAAGGAAGGAAGGAAGGAAGGAAGGAAGGAAGGAAGGAAGGAAGGAAGGAAAAAAGGAAGGAAGGAAGGAAAAAAGGAAGGAAGGAAGGAAGGAAGGAAGGAAGGAAGGAAGGAAGGAAGGAAGGAAGCTGAGCAGAGGGTACAGAGCAAGCCAATATGCAGTTTTCTGTCACCATTTCTGCTTCAGTTCCCGCTCGAACCCTTGCTCTGACTTCCCTATAATAATGCAATTTGCCCTGAAAGTATAAATCAGATAAACCCTTTTCTCCCAAAGTTGCTTTTGGCTGTGCTGTTTATCAAAGTTAAAGGAAGATAACTAGAACACTCTCCCTTTCCCAGAAGCCACCAACTGCCAATAGCTTTTCAGCTAGGGGTGGGACTCCAAGAGGCCCTTTGTCATCCATGGTAAACTGCTTGTTTAGAATGTGTGAAATCCTGTGTGTGAGCCCTGGTGTCTCATAACTGGCTGGCCATTGATGTGGGATTCCCATCTGTATGCTGTGAATACCATTGGTTAATAAAGCAACTACCTTGGCCTGTTGTTTGGGCAGAGTAGAGCTAGGTGGGGAAAACTAAACTGAATACTGGGAGAAAGAAGGCCGAATAAAAGAGACGCATCCAGGAACAGACATGCCAAACCTTGCCAGTAAAACACAGCCACATGGCGATACACAGATCAATAGAAATGGGTTAATTAAGATATAAGAGTTAGCCAATAAGAAGCTAGAGCTAAAGGGTCAAGCGGTGATTTAACTAATACAGTTTCTGTGTGGTTATTTCAGGGCTGAGCAGCCGGGAACAAACAAGCGGCCTCATACAACAGGTCATAGTGCTGTACACCTGTAATCCCAGCACTC